TCCCCTGGAGCCTTATTTTGGAAAGGAAAATGAAGAGGTTGAACTATGTGAGCTTAGAAGTCCCTTGAAACCTTAAAATTTAAAAGTTATAGTAGCCTCTAATGAAAAAAAAAACTTTCATTTTCTAATACTTATGATTTATGGTTAATAATGTTTATTCTGCTCATGGACTATGCATACCCATTTAAGTTAATTCTACCTCTGCTAATTAAATTAAATATCAAGAAGCGTGGTTTCAGAAATTGGCATTAGAAGTTACTTTCAAGATCTGAGGATGATTTGAGTATCTTTTTTGTTGTTGTTTTCCACGTGTTATATGTGAAACATGCAACACAGTTTTATTCTGACCGTTTTTCTTGTTCATACCATTCCTTCAGAGGTTACATACTATTCATCCAGAGACGGTTTAATTTGCTCCATGTAGGTAATTAATAATAGCAATAAAATAAAATTCTCCTAATCCAAAGTATGAATATTAGAGTGTTAATCCTTTTAAGCATCTGTCTTTCCCCGCAAAAAGAAACTTCACCCCTCAAAAATCTGTTTCCTTGAGGGTCTGGAGAAATGAAGAAACACAATAAAACATAAAACATACCTTTCAAGATATTCCCCTGAGGGTCTCTGTAAACTTAAAAAAAAAGTGAGAAGGTAAATTTGCCTGTGTTGATTGTTCTGTTCACAGTAATGGTTTAGTGGTTCAACTGAAATTTGTTGTCATCATAGGGACTGTTAGTACATCAGCCTGTTTGCTGAGTCTAGCAAAGTAGAACATTTTGCTTACCTTCTTTCTTTTGTTTTCAAAGCTAATTGCTGTGCGTTTAACAAAAGACCCTGTTAATAACAAAGGAAGACCCCCATTTGAATAAACAAACTCTTATTCTGAAGTCACAAGCAGTATTAATTCCTTATGGCTGCTACTTACATGATTATTTGCGTGTAGTTTAGGAAAAGGATAATGATCCAAATCTTAGGTGTTTCCCCTTTATGTAGCCATTTGAGAGGAACCAGATGGCCCCCATCCTTTTTCTTTTTTTCTTTGAAGCAATCTGATTTGAGTTGGGCCAGGAACAAGGTTCTCCTTCCAGAGACCATAGAACTCCACCCTAAGAACATATGCAGTGAAAACGTCACCTTCCCTTTTTCTTTAGTTGTTTAAACTGTTTTAACTTTACCCCTTTACTGATAGCATTTTGGAGGTTACTCTCACTTTTTTACTTCGCCTTTTGTTTGATTTTGAAATTCTGGGCATTTTCTAGACAATAGAATTTCAATTGGTACTGCATATAAATAAAGGATTCAAATGATTTATGCAAGTGAACATTTCTGTAAGGATATGCATATGATCAGTTCTTTTTTGGAGTCTATATTGTTACAAAAATAAGAATTGTTTCCCACCTCCACGTAAAAACAGACAACTCTAACAGACTAAATTTCCAAACTGAGTGACACTTGGTATTTTAAATTTCATTACTGTTGGGAGAAAAAAACCAATTTTCTATTTCTTAATGAAAAATGCTTTGAAAAACTTTTGAAGCATTCTTAAAGCTTTGAACTTAGGAAAATTCTATGTAAATGAAAGGCACGTATTTATGCGTTGCTTAAAATTAAAGTTTTAAAACTTAAAAAAGGAGAATTTACAGCTGAATTATCTAACACTGATTCTGTCACAGGACAGAAACTAAGGAATCACTGGCCCAAACTCAAAAAAGATTGTCACCTATTATGTTAAATTTATTTAAAGCCTAATGTAAAATTATTTTGTATTAGGAACATTGAATTATTCTAATGCTAAGAATATACAACATGACCCCCCAAAAACTTAAATACACTAGAGTCTGTTCAAAATTTGCTTGGTCAGGAAAATCTTGGTCAAATAAGATTAGGAAATGATTTTCTTAGGAATTGCTATCATGGAAATCTTTGGTGAATAAATTATTTCTATTTTAATGATTTAATTACTTCCTGCACCCATACCATCGCCTTTAAAATTTCACTTTATCAGGGAGTTTGTTATTTCAATGACGCTTTGCGACCAAGAAGGTTTATTAATTGAAAAAAAACCAACATGAACAGAGAAGCTCTTGCTCAAGTAATCTGGCTTAAGTTACAGCATGTCTCCTCAGAAACTTCAGAAAATGTCGATAATGGTACTGTACAACCTAAACAGATAAATAATATATTTTACATTTTTAACAACTAAAATTAATTCAATACTAATTAATATCCAGCCAATTTCTTTTCGATTAAATTGTTGCTAAATATATTTATTGATTATTTTGTATGTACTTAAGCATATTTTTCTGTTTGGGAGAAATGATTTCTATTGCATATATCTTAAATAGATGAAAATGAGTAGCTGTACACAGGTTTATTCCCTTTTAATACTGCCTTTACAAAAGAGAAGTCCAAAAATTTGTTCATTTTAAATTGTACAGCATATGGTCAAAGATAGCCCACTTCACATTTTTGGGGGTGGTAAAACAAACAAACAAACAAAATATTAGCAACATTAACAACAAAAACTAATTTAGAACACATTTTTCTGAGGAGACGTGGTCCTGCAGTTGTCTGTGGGACAATAAGCCAATCAGTGAGTGATATTTAGATTCCCCCGGCTTTGGGAAAGTATATTGTCTTCCTGAAAACCTCTCCAGCCTAAGCTGAGAGCCCCATAGATAACCTGAAGTTAATAATTAACAGAATTTATATGTGCTACCCCTAAATATACATCTCCCCTCTTCTATATCTGTCATTGATTCAAAACTAGCATTTTCCCCAGCCTGGGCAACATAGTACCATCTTGTCTCTACAATTTTTGTTTTTTTAATTAGCCAGGCGTGGTGGCGTGAACCTGTAGTCCCAGCTACTCAGAAGGCTGAGATGGGAGCATCACTTGAGCCCTGGAGGTTGAGGCTGCAGTGAACCATGATCGTACCAGTGAACTCCAGCCTGGGCAATAGAGGGAAACCCTGTCTCAAAAAACAAACAAACAAAAATTAAACAAAACCCTTGCATTTTCATTGACTAGAGTAGAATCAGTAAGTGATTAATCAGTAATGTTATTGTTACACAAAGCCAAGTTTCTTGAACTGTTTTCTGATTGTTTTCATTGTATTTTTTAAGCTTCAAAAAAATTGCCTCATCACACTAAATTTGATTAGACAACCCATTTTGAGAACTTTTAAAAAATCTTACCATATTGCTTCCCACTAGACTGAACACATTTACTTCTTTGAAATATTTAAAGTGTGTTATCTGATTTAAAACAAAGCAAGTATACTTTTTTCCCTTCATGGGAATATTTTGGTCCATTTTAAGAGCATTTATGACTGGGCACCGTGGCTTACACTTTTAATCCCAGCACTTTAGGAGGCCGAGGCAGGCAGATTGCTCGAGGTCAGGAGTTCAAGACCAGCCTATCCAACATGGCCAAATCCCATCTCTACTAAAAATACAAAAATTAACTGGGTGTGGTGGTGCGCTCTTGTAATCCCAGCTACTTGAGAGGCTGAGGGAGGAGAATTGCCTGGGAAGTTGCAGTGAGCCAAGATGGTGCCATCGCACTCCAGCCTAGGTGATGGAGTGAGACTCTGTCTCAAAAAAAAGAATACGTTTTTTCTAATTTATTTACTGATTGATTTCTGACTTCTTTATGACATATATCCTGAGCAGAATCTACATGTCTATCAATCTATTGATCTACCTATGTATATGCAGGGAATTTTTTCAGTTCTTTAAATCATAAAAGCACCTTTAATTGAAATCCTGAAATATTCATAGAATTAAAACACATGGTCTGGAAATTTGAGCTAGTATTTTTGGAGCCTCATAGATCTATAGAAAAATGAGCAAAAACTACCTTTCTAGAACTCCTGAATCACTATTACTTAGCATATGCATAAGCTCAAGAGTCTAAAAGGAAAATTAAAGATGCTTAATAACCAATTATTTAGCTGTAACATTATCAGAAATGTTTAAAATAGTTTATCAAAAAGTTTAAATTTATGATAATTTTTGGTAATTTGTTTCCAGTCATCATCTGGAAAGTAGCAAACAAGGTTTAGTGGATTACTGTGAAGAAGTCATCTTTTGAATGTAAGATGCTGTTAATTTACAGTGTGGCTATCTAAAGGTTAAAAACTAGATTTTCTAGTGTGTTTTCCCCCCTAAAACGATAAGTTTAGTTTCTAAAAAATAAAAATAAGCAATATATCTTTTCAATAAATCTGCTAGCACTGTGGGGCAGCTGTTAACCAAGCAGAGCTGGATAGGGTTACTCGAACAATCTCTCAAGGGCAGAGCTGATGATTCGGAGATCTGGGAAGAATTTGTTTCAGCTTGTATTCAGTGCATTCCTCACTTTCTTCAGATGTAGTAAAGTATTTTAAATGCCATTACTCTGAGTTTAAAATAAAACTAGAAACGCTTATCAACTCTTCCTAAACAATGCCAGTTTAAGCAAAACAAAATTAATAAAAGGTTAAAACTGAGGACCTTGATGCTTCCAAACACAAGCTAGGGCGAATGTTTGTAAGATGGGCCTTTCTCCTCTAAACTGCATGTCTTCTATGTTTTGCAAACTGCATGCTTAAAGTTATTGATTATTTTATTCAGTGCAGATTATTTGGTATGATGCATAGAAAAAAATGCATTTTTATTTTCTTTCTAAAATATATCTCTCTATTGAATATTAACATTTGCTTTTATTTCAGCTCAATTTGTACTCTAATAATGGCTAATTGTTATGTTCTAAGCACTTGTTTCTCTTGTATGCTTTAATTAATAGAGAAGCATATTGCAATAGCTTTTTCTAAAAAAGAGTCTAGGAATTTTGCTTTTCGGAATAAGATTTTCTTTTGCTTTTTTTTTTTTTCTTTAAGTTGCCTCTTGGGAAAGTAAGGTTAATGCCATGTACAGTACTAGTTTGCATGTGTTCATTTAAATACTAAAAACTGTAGAACTGCTCGATCCATATCTGACTGCTAGGTTTCAATTGACAGCTGAGGATTTGTGACTGGACCATGAATCAAAACGGCAGGCATTTATACCCCAGTACCAGTGAGGATACATTGGGAATTACTTGGCAAAGGTAACATTTTAATTATTTCCAACCCTACACTTACACCTAAAAATTACATGAGCTATAGTGTTTGTTTTTAACTAGCTTTACAGAAAATATATGTTAAAAATTTAGTTGTTTTGGCTATGCCATTCTTCTTTCTTTGTCCTTCTCTTTTATTTCTTATGTAAATGGGAAGTCAAATTAAGTTGGGACTATAGTATATGCTTACTAATCATTGGAATTTTTAAATGCTATAAAATGTTTTCTATAATTTATAATATTTTTGGTGGGGGAGGGGGTGGAACTTGACATTTAGATTTTAGAACCTGAAAAGTGAAATCACAACTTTAGGGAAGATTTTTGAGCTAACTGAAGATAAAGCATTGGTTTTCACATTGTAGATTCTTCTTATTTCAACTCTTTCCTCTACTGCTAATTCTAAGCCATTTCACTATTCATTTGTTCCCATGTTGTAGCAGGGGAAAAAAACTAGAAAGAAATTTTAGTTAGTTAATATAACTATTATTGACAGCACCCATAAATTTTGGATGGGAAGATTGTTGGAATCAGTAGCTAAAGAAGGAATTTGTTAAAGTTTTAATTTCTGTTTGTATACTGATGTAATTCATAGAAGATTGACTTTATTTGGTTGGCTGAGAAAACTATTCTAAAACTTCATTTTCAAAACCAGTTTTCATATTGTCTCATGCATTTCCTTTAGAAAATAAGTAGTTCAAAGTCAGCTGCTTCTTGTATGTTATTTATTTTAAGAACAAGTTGTATCAAATTGACAAATAATTAGATTCGTGGTATAATCATAAGTAATCAGAAATAAAAATTATCAGAAGAGAATGAGGTAATCCTGTAAGGAGTTCACCAAATAGAGTGGGCATAATTTTCCAACCCAGCTCTGATTGTAATCCTCCTTTGTGGAAAGTGTCTGTAGAAAGGTAGATACTCAGACAGAGTTGTCTGCCCATCTTCATGTTGGTTCACACAGAAACTGCTGAAGAGTAGATTTTAAAGAATCAAAATAATTAAATGTCCACTTTAATTCAGATAAAAATTAAGGGAATTATTCAGATTATGTTTTTAAAAACAATGACTTTTTATTAATTCACTACCAAATGGAATACAATGTGACCTTTCTTGTTTTAGATTGAGGCCGGGTGCAGTGGCTTACGCCTGTAATCCTAGCACTTTGGGAGGCTGAGGTGGGTGAATCACCTGAGGTCGGGAGTTCAAGACCAGCCTGGCCATCATGGTGAAACCGCCCCCCATCTTTATTAAAAAAAAAAAAAAAAATGATTGATATAACTTCCACTTTAAAAAGGGATATATTTTTACATATAGTGATTTTTTTCAAGAAGATTATATTCATCCTTTTGAAAAAAATATAGTATATGCTTATAAAAAGAAGATAAACTCAATGGAAGCATCTTATCCAAATAGGCTTAATGATTAATAGTCTTAATTAAATTAAATGAAAGTGTCTCATTAAAATATTCTGAATTAATAAACATTTTAAAGTTAATTTAATTGAATTTGATAACCAAATATTTGCATATTTTATTTAATAACTCATATATCATGCTCTATCAGTTACCAAAATGGCTCATGTTTGCTTACAAGCTTACCATATTTACAAGAATTGCAAACCAGATGACATGTACTCAAATTTGTAAATGCGCCTATAGCTATGTGAACTTCCAAACCTGGGGAATCTTGATTGACTTACTAAATCTAAAAATAGCATAGCACCTCTAAAACATATTTGCAAATTGTTAGAGATTTAAAATATAGCTTTGCCTAGTTACTAGTAATTTTTTAAATAAAAAATTGATAGCCCATGAAGAAAGAAGGTTAGTGGACAATAAATCTCAGAACACATGTATTGGAGAAAATGAATCTGATGATTAAACTCAGTTCTTAGGGCTGTATTGTTGATGTTACAGATCCCCTTACTGGTGAAAAATTGGTGTGTTTATCAGTTTCAGGTCATAGTAAGTCAGAAAAAAATTTAGAATTTATTTAGGTAAAATTTTTTTCTCTCAAAAATAGTAGCATTTCTTTTGTTTAGTAGGTAATGACATGTAGAATGGTCTTAATGTTTCCAAAAGCTCTTTAAAAGGTATCTTGTTTTTTTTGTTTGTTTGTTTTTTGTCTTTTATTTTTTAGACTGTCTCACTTCCTCACCCAGGATGGAGTGCAGTGGCATGACCTTGGCTCACTGCAACCTCCGCTTCCCAGGTTCAAGTGATTCTTATGCTCAGCCACCGCAGTAGCTGAGATTACAGGCATGCGCCACCATGCCCAGCTAACTTTTGTATTTTTAGTAGACACTGGATTTCACCCTGTTGGCCAGGCTGGTCTGAAACTCCTGACTTCAAGTGATCTGCATGCCTTGGCCTCCCAAAGTACTGAGATTACAGACATGAGCCACTGCGCCCAGCCAGTATCTCGGTTTGTTTCTTCTCTTTCTATCATGGTTCAGAAAGCACGTAATTGATAATGGCAGGCATCACATTTCTACATTCAATAGGTATTATTGATCTTTATGGTAGACTGTCTAAATGCTGTGGTGATTGAAATGCTCCCAGTTCTTAAAATCTAGGTGTGATGCAGTTCAGAATAAATAAATTCAAATGGCACAGTTTGCTTTGCTTTGTTATAGTTTTCAAAAATGGACACAAATAGAGTTTATATTTGACAATACTATAGGCCTTATCTGTGGCATGACAGTTTTATTCATCATTTAGTTTGTGACCTGTGGCTGTTTTTAAAACATATTTTTTTTAAGAATATTGAAAAAAGAAGTCCTAAATGTCTGTAATTCTAGTACTTTTAAGGCAGATAATAGACGTCTAAAATCTTCAGGGCATGGCTATAACTTTAGAGTCATCTAAATAAGTTGAAAATATTGAAGAAACGTAGGTCTATTCATCCAAAGAATTAAATGATTTGCCTTTGTCGCCATGGAATAAAGAAAATATCACAGGTTATTTTTGTTGTGGTAGTTGCTTTTTAACAAAAGGCTATCCCTGGAGACTGTAGTAGAAAAGGACAAAGCAAAATGGGTGTTTTTGGTTTTGCTTTATTTTATTTTGATTGATTGTTGTTTGTTGCCATTACTTTCTTTGTACAAACACTTTTCCATGGTTTCCCTGTTTTCTGCTTTATACTAATTGCCCTGTTGAGGTGTTTCCATGTCAAATGTAGCTCTTTTTGGAACTGAAAATGGCAGTGCCAAGGGAGCTGTGCAAGTATAATCAAAGCTGGAGGGTTTCCTCTATCCTTCCACAACCCCAAGGCATAAGCATTCCCTTAGGAACCAAAGCTGACTCTTTGGGAAAGTTTTCACAGCCTTATTAGGTTGCAACCCTGAAGGTGTTTTGTTGTTTTAACCTTAGAATTTTGTGAACTCTGTGTGTGTGTGTGTGTGTGTGTGTGTGCACGTGCACGTGTGTGACTGAGAGAGAGTGAGAGAGAGAGAGAGAGAGAATGAGTAAAGGAGTTATTTGCACCTTGACAAAGTCAATTTTTCTCCCTAAGTGAAAGGTCAGGAACTGCAGTTAACCCAGAGTAAAATACTGGTGAAGGGCTCACTTCTGCTATAGTCAGGATGGGCTCAGATCTTAGGAAGATCATAGGTGATGAATTGCTCAAGCTAGATACTGTTGTGTTTGTGCTTTGTCCTCATGTGGACAAATTACCTTGTTGCATATGTGAGTTATGTGGGCATAAACATATATAGCAGTTACTCCCTGACTGGCTTCCTTTCTTAAAGTGATAGTCAGAATATAGCTAGTACTATCAGATGTGAAAGATCAATATAATTGAATGAAAGAAAGCCAAAGGACAATCCAAGAATAATATAAACATAAGCTATTTTAAAACATTAGAGGGAGTGCTTTATGCAAAAGAGAAACTGAATTTACTGTTCCATTCTCTCTTCTCCCCCTTCACCCCTTTTAAGAAAATGCAAAGCCACAAGTGAGTGGTTGTATGTGTCTGATGGCTTATATAAACATAGAAGAAGCCTTCAGATGGCTAAAATAAACATGTGCATGTTACCGAAGGATATGTTTACACAAACCATTTGCTCAGCCTCTGAAATAATGAATAAATGAAGATTTTACTAAAATAATTGGAAGGATTTTTGTGTTTCTGCAGATGCCATAATTGAATGGCACCAAAGAGACTTTTATCAGCTATTTTCCATGTTACATGTGTTAGCAGTTCCTTTCTATGGGTTGAATACTTCATTCTGTAGTTACTTTACACATGTTTTTGTAAGAAATTGTCGTTTATTACTGCAATTCTAGAGAGTTGCTTGATTTCTCAAGAGAAATTTAGCAGCCAGTAAAGATTATTTGGATCTAGTTGGTCAGGAGAGGGAGGGCAAAAGAAAAAAAAAGTGAAGGGTAGTAACTCTCGTTTCATCCGTGTAACTTAATTTGCATAACACTCGCCTCAACCATTTTTCTCACTGCCTCCATAACATTTTCTTTGTAAAATGTATACTCTCAAACGAATGAATATTTAAACAAAAATAATTTTCAATAATGGATTGCAAACCATGTTTGTATTACATACATGTGTTTGTGTGTGTATGCATATATATGTGTGTGTGTACGTGTGTATCTCCACATATATATGGCATATGTATAAAGGCAGTATGTATCCTGTCCGTAGGTAATATTAAGAGTTAACTTTTATTTCAACATTACACTTAGACCATCCCTGCGAATTCACTAAGTTAGCATTTCCTGCTCTCAGTTTGTTATCTTGACACATAACTACAGTACAACAGCTGGGTTGTTCCTGGAGTTCCTGGGGGGAGCTTTATTCTCCGAGTGCTGAATTTCCTTTTCAGCTGTCAGCTCTACAGTGTGTTCAAATCCTCAACTTTTTATACACCATTCTGGGCCCCTAGTACCATTCTGGGACTATGATAGAAATGCTGATACGGTAGATGAATGGAAGAATCTTTGGTTCAAGGTGGAGAATTGCAAAAACCAAAATTA